AATCCAAATACTTCAGTTCTTTAGGCTTCCTTATTCCTTTCATAAGTTTATGAAGTGATTGGAAATACCATGGTTTGGGTCAGGCATACCTTAGTCTTCAAAGTGTCGTCATTACTTTTTAACCCTTGAAATAGCTTGCAAAAATTGACTAGGTGCAAGAAATCATTTGATATTTTAACTGCTACTTCAGTGGACCACCACCTGTCAATTTCTTGTGCTGCTGTATGTAGTGTGTATGATGTTGCGATATGAGAAGCTATGCCACTTATATTTCAAATACTAGGATGGTCACCCAAGGTGGACAGGTTCCAGTGCATCTTCCAGATTAGGACAGACTAGGGAAAAAGGATATGGTGGTATGACTTTGTTGTTATGTACCATTGAGTCAGCTGTGACTTACAGTGACCCTATGTACAATAACTCTGAACCCTATGCTATCCTAAGCTAGTATCACTGTCTCCGACATACCTAACCAGCATTACCCCTATTGCTGTGTCAATCCTTCTCACTTGGGCCTCTTCTTCTTCTGTACTGTTCCTCTATCCTTCCAAGCATCATATCCAAGAGTAGTCCCTCTTGGCAACATGTCCAAAGAATATGAGATAAAGTTTGAAACTTCTTGCCTCCATGGAGCGCTTGGTTTCACCTTCTCTAGGAAAGACCTCTTTGTTCTCTTGGCAGTCCATGGTGTATGTGCAGTTCTTTACTCCAGCACCACATCTCAAAGGCATCCATTCTTCTTCTATCATTATTAATCATTGTCCACCTCTCTGATGCATAACAAGTTATTGCCTGAATCAGGTGCACCTTAGTCTCTAGACTGACATCATTATTCATTAACACTTTGGAGATGTCTCTGACACCAGACTTCCCTAATATAATTTGTTATTTTATTCTCTTTTGATTGTGGTGGTTTAATTCTGGAAAAACTAACTACTGAACATCTTATGAATTGGAGTACAACACTTCTAGTTCTGGAAGATATGTCTCTCAGGTTGAAAGATGTACATGAAGCAAAGCACTAAGGACCTAAATTTGTTCGTGAGGCATGGCTCAAAATGAGAGAAAACAATTGCAAATACCCAATAATTGTAACATAGAATATAAGAAATGTGAATCTAGTATCACTGAAAGTTGTAAAAAATTAAATGGCACATAAACAGATGAATATCCTAAGCATTAGTGAGCTGAAATGGACTTGTACTATTTATTTTGCTCCTGATTCAAGTAATCGTCTTTCACTTGTTAGGAAACTGAATATTAGACAATGAGTAAGGATGACAGAAGAAGAATTGATGCCTAGGAGTTGTGTTGTTGGAGAAGAGTACTGAATATGGGGGTTCTTTTTAAAGTGAAATTTAAAGACAGTCATTCAGGTTAGTAGCCGAATACAAATCACTCAACAGTTCAGCTTCTGTGCTTGCAAGCACCTCAGCCTTACACCTTTAGGCCAGTGTTATAAAACTCCTAGTCCTCCAGTATGGCTCTCCTCTTAGTCCCTTAACTAAGTGGGCAAAAAAAATCCTAAATGGGTAAAAGGCTCTTATTTCTGGTTCAATGGCCTAGCAGTGCCAAGGCACACTCTGCCTCATGCCAGATCTTTGATCCTCTGCTTGGACCATTGCTGCCACAATGTAAGTCTAGTTGGCATAGAAGTCTGTAGCCGCAAAGGGCACGTACTGCATGCCTCCTTCTTTCTGCTGGTGGTGAAACTCCACAAATATGTCTTGGAGAAAGAGCAGCCAGGGTGCTTCTTGGAGGCAACCATGGTGAAACTTCATCTCATATGTTGTTGTTTTTGTTTTTATGTGCCATTGAGTCACTTGTGACTTATAGCGACCCTATATACAACAGCTCTGAACCCTGCCCTGCCCTGAGCCAGTCTCACTGACTCTGACACACCTACCCCTTTTGCCCCCATCACTGTATCAATTCATCTCATCTGGGGTCTTCCTCTCTTGCACTGTCCATCCACCCTTATGAGCATGATGTCCTTCTCCAAGGATTAGTAGCTCCTGACCACATGCCCAGAGTATGTGAGACAGAGCTTCAAAATCCTAGCCTCCCAGGAGAAAATTGGTTTCACCCTCTCCAAGAGCTTTCTCCTATTTGATTTCTTGGTGGTCCATGATATGTCCAAGACTCTTCTCCAGCACCACACTCAAAGGCATCAATTCTTCTTCTGTCATCCTTAATCACTGTCCAGGTCTCTGATGTATAGCAAGTAATTGGGAAGACCACGGACTGGATCACGCACACCTTAATCTCTAGACTGACATTGTTGCTTCTCAGTACTCTGGAAATGATCCTGACAGCAGATTTACCTAATGTGATTCATCTTTTGATTTCCTGACTGCTGGTGTTAAGAGTGTCGATTGTAGAGCCAAGCAAGCTGTACTTGTTACCTCAATCCCCTCTCCATTTACCATGGTGCTGCCAATTGGCCCAGTGGTGAGGATCTTTGTCTTCTTGATTTTGAGCTTCAATCCATATTGAAGGCTGCAGTTCTTGACCTTGTGCAGCAAGCACATCAGGTCCTCCTGAGTTTCAGCAAGCAAGCAAGGTTGTGTCATCTGTATAAAGTAGGTTGTTGATGAATCTTCCTTCAACCCTAATGCCACATTCCTTCTCATAAAGTGCAGCCTCTTGAATGATCTGTTCTGCATATAAGGTTGAAAAGGTATGGAGACAGGATGCATCCCTGTTGCACTCCCTTCCTGATTTTGAATCATGCAGTGTTTCCCTGCTTTGTTCTGATGACTGCTTTCTGGTCCAAGTATAGGTTTCATACAAGCACAATCAAGAATTCTGGGATTCTCATTCTCCTCTAGGTTAACTACAATTTGTTGTGATCCACACAGTCAAATGCCTCTGCAACAGCATATTGGTAGGAGGAGGCAGTCCTGGGAAAAGGACATCATGTTTGGAAATGTGGAGGGAGGGACAAAGGAAATGAAGACTCTCAACAAGATGAATTAACACAATGACTGTACAATGTGCCCAAATATATCAGAGATGATGAGGGTGGCACAGGTTCCGATGCATTCATAAGGTTGCTATGAGTTGTAGGCAACTAGATGGAATTTCACAATAACAATATTGTGGGAATAACATATTTAAGAGGAATGATACCACATTTGTAACCAAATGAAACATTTATAGGTATATATTGAACTATATTTTCAGTGATAGGACTATCTCCAAATGCCTTTGTATATCCATACAAAGAATACCAGAACTCAAAAAAGAAATTTTGCACTGCTATTCCAAAGGCACCCTCTGTTCCATGATAAAAGAGTGAACAATCTTTTCCCATGAGATAAAATGTCCTCCGAAAACCCACTGGAGGGTCACACAACAAGAAGGAACACTAGTTCATATGTTGATCATTCAAATTTATTCACAAATCACTAATGCCAAAGATGAAGAAATTTAAGACTTTACCAACTTCTGAAGTTGAAAATGATAAAACAAACAACCAAGACAAACTAAGAATTTCTAGTGATTGGTATGTAATAGTTGGAAACAAAGAGGAATTCAAATCAAGCAAAATGCACTAAGTCAATTCAAAATCACAGTGACCCCAGGACAGAGTAGAAGTGCCCATTGAGAAATACGACCTTTGTGTTCCCATGTCTCATTAGAATGTTGCAAAATCAAAGATTTACTTATTGTAAATATATTTTTCAAAAACATATGCAATAAAACTCATCAGATGGAACCAAATGGAAAATATTGGTGGAAAGAGATGATGTCTAAGAAACTCAATAGAATAAGGGGAAAGGTGGATGATGAAAGAGATCTTCAGTAGGTTATATATAGGTTTAACTTTAAACAGAAGAAAATGACAAGAGTCTATTAGAGCCAAAATATGACCTTGAGTTTATTCTACCTGGATTTAGACCCAATTTCAATAATAAATTTGATACATTGATAACTAATAAGCCAAGACTACACCAGTTGTGAGATGGCACTAAGGACAGCATACTGAAGAAAGCAAAAATGTCACTAAAAGGACAAGAAAGAAAAGCCATAAAGGATGTCAGAAAAGACTCTGAAACTTTCTCTCTTACAAAGACTAGCTAAAGACAAAACTGAACAAAAGATTTGAAAGGACATCTTGAGTAGACAAATTATTTTAGTGAAATATACAAAACTTGGAGTTAGAAAGCCAAAAGATCATGCATGCATTTCTCAAACTAAAAGAACTGAAGGGGGGAAAATGCAAAACACCAAACCACCCAAGCTTCAAGTTGTAACAATGAAGGATTCTATGGGGAAAATATTCAATGGTGGAAGAAGCCTCAGAAAGAAGCTAAGAGTATAAGGTCATTACCAATAAAGAATTGGTCCATTTCCACCTATATTAGCAGATAGTATATGATCCAGAACTACTGGGATTGAAGAGGTCCAAGATCCTCTAAAGGCATTGGTGCAAAACAACATTTTGGAGCTGAAGGAATACTAGTTGTACTGTTTCAACAATGGGATATAATTCTGGGCGTGATCACTCATCTATGCCAAGAAATTTGGAAGGCAGTTTCTTGGCTAACCCACTGGACAAGATCATCTGTGTGCAGTCCAATGAAAGGTGAGCCAACAGAATGCAGAAGATAATCAGACAACATCATTAGTATCACACACAAGTAAAATCTTGCTGAAGAAAATTCAAAAGTTGTAGTTGCACATGACAAAAAATGCAAGAAATTCAAGCCAAGTTCAAGATAAGTGACATCACTATAGATCAGATGTCAGATGAATCTTAGATGAAAGCAGAGAATATCGGAGTTTACCAGCATTTCAATGACTATGCAAAGCCATTTGTCTGGATCGTAACAAATTAACGATAACATTGCAAAGAACTGAGAATTCCACAAAACTTAATTGTGCTTATGAAGAGCCTGTAAATAGACTAAGCAGCAATTGTCTAAACAGAACAAGGAAATATTGCAGTTGGTTGGTTGGTTGTTTTTTGTTTTTGTTTTTGTTTTTTTCTTCAGTGTTCCAGACAATATATTTGGATGGAATTGGAGCCAAAGCAGGGCATAGAGGTGTCAGATGAGGCCAGGTGGTAAGCAGGGCCAGTCCTTGGAGGGCCTCCCTGAGGCTGAAGGTTCTGGCAGGGCCCAGGCTCTGGAATTCCAAGGTGATGTGGAGGACCCTCTTGCCTTTACCATCCAGCCTTGGGAGACACTGTCCTTGAAGCATTGCTGGTCCCAAAATGGTTAGAAACCGTCTCATGGGTCTATGTGAAGCCCCCACCAACCACAGAGAATAGGCAGCAGGCAGCAGGCAGGATTTCAGCAGCTGTGGAGACCCCTAGGGCAGCTGAGTGAGGCCAGACCACCTAGGAGGGGCCTGGGACTGGAAGGGATTTTTCTCTAAATTTGATTCATCTGGCGAGCTTGTACAGGAAGATGGCTAGACCCAGAAAGGGCAGGTGTCTCAGAGCAGGAGGACAGACAGATGGAGCACAGACGAAAAGCCTGGGGCTATGAAAGCTTAGGCAGCTGAAAGAGGACAGCGGTATCTGAGATGATGTCATTCTGTCCGTCTCCTCTCTCCCAGGGGCCACACAACACCCCAGCCTCCAGCACAGGCCTCAGGGGAGAGCTCTCTTCAGCAGCAGGCTGGGAGGGACCCAAACAATCAGGTCTCTGAAGATCACAAGTTCTGCGGCTCCAGCTGAGGCTGCCCTGGAACTTTCTTTTCGGAAACATCTGTGTCTTTCTGGTCATTGGCAGGAGCTGGGACCAGCACGTCACCTGTGTTGGGGTGGAACCTGAGCTGCCCCTCAGGGTTCGCTGTGTTGAAGGCCTATTGTTGTTGTTGTTGTTGTTGCTGCTGCTGCTTCCGCTGCTCCATTTGCAGACGTGCCTGCTGCAGCTCTCTCTTCTGGGCCTCCATGTGGCCTTGGGACCGGCCCAGAGCCTGTCTCCTGGCTGAGACGCTAGGCCTTGGCGTTCAGCTCGGCCTCCCGGGCGGCCAGCTCCTCCTCGGTGTAGGCAGGGTATGTCTCCACTGTCTCCCAGCCATCGGCATTGCCTCCAAACTCCTTCCTCTGGGTGGAGATCAGGAACTCCTCCAGGGTCACCAGGCGGTCCTGCCTGGTGTCCACATTCTTCATCACGCGCTCTCGCATACGCAGTCGCTCCTCCTCATCTCCCGCTTGCCGTTTCCTCCTTCTTTGGATCATATACCTTCTCCAGCTCCTTGGTGAAGAGAGCCTCCAGCTTCTGCTCATCTAAAACGCCATCGTTGTTGATATCATGCAGTATGAAGAACGTCTTGGGGTTAAACCTGTTGGTGTCCAGTCCGTCCAGCTCCTCCCACACCTCCTTCAGCTGGGCTTGGCTGCCAGGTACATTAACCTTGGGGCGCTCTCGGTTCCTCTCTGCCTCCCTCCGTTGCTCCTCCCCCAGGGATTCCAGATAATGATGCCTCTGGTGTTCCTCGAGCATCTCATAGCGCTTGAGCTCTTCGTGACAGGCAGCGTCGTACTGAGCGAGGTCCCGGGTAGCTGTCTGGATCAGCAGCTCCAGGTCCCCGGGCCTCAAAGGTGTGCTGATTCTGAGGGTCCAAGTCTTCAAACTGCTTCGGAAGGCTCAGGTGATCTCCTTGCACATTGGGCTCCTGTTCAGCGTCCATCCTGGCCTTCAGCAGCATCCGCAGCCGCGGTACCTCCTGTCGCTCGAGTTCGTCCAGCTTGATGCAGACACAGTGGCTGACCGAGTCCAGCTCACGGCTCTGCTTCCCGCTCTTTATGTCCTCTGCGGTGGCGCCTGCAGCTTCTCCCAGAAGTGCCCCTCCGTCTCCAGAACGTTGCTGAGCTCTTGGAGGTAGTGGTGGTGATACAGGCCTGTGTCAGGGTTCTCCTCCTTCTTGGGCGCCCCCTGCTCCAGGGGCCCGGCCAGAACAGTGCTCCGCCGCAGTAGCAGCGGCTGCAGGAGGACGGCGGCGCCGGGCCCGGAGGGAGGCATGGCGAAGATGCCTCCCTCACACCGCAGAGGGCGCCTTCCCGGGAAAGGACCCCCCATGCATCCTTCGGAAACCGTGCAGTTCAAAATCAGAAAGGGAGGCAGTAGGGCTATATTTTTTTCCCAACATATTTACTCAATCTGTATGTTGAGCAAATACTCTGTGAAGCTAGATTATCTGATGAAGAATGGAACATTTAAGAATGGAGGAAGACATATCAACGACTTGCATTTATGCAGACGACAAAACCTTCATGTTGTAAAGGAAAAGTTTACTGATGAACATTAAAGTCTTTTTATGGATTAGGTATCCATCTGAAGTAAACAAGGCCCCCTGCAACTGAACCCAAAAACCAGAATCATGCTAAATAGAGAAAAGATTGATGTTGTCAAGGGTTTTTTGTGGGGGTCTTTTTGTGTGTGTGTGTTTTTAAACTTGGATCCACAACCTATGCCCCTAAAAAAACAGCAGTGAAGACATCAAAGAACTTAGTATGGCAGACAAATCTGCTGCAAAAGATCTCTTTCAATTATTAAACACAGATGTGACTTTGAGCAATAGTGCATGTTGGATGCAAGCCTTGTTATTTTCAATCACCTTAAATGCATTTGAAAGCTGGCTGGTGATAAAAAAAGGTCAAGGAACTGATGCATTTGTATTACAGTGTTGATGAAGGATATTGTACATACCATGGATTATGAGAGGAAAGAAAAATGTAAAGATGTTCAGCCTGAATGCTACTTAGAGGTAAGGATGGTGAAAGTTTGTCTCAGACACTTCAGACATGGCATCAGGAGAGAGATTATCAGTCTCTGGAGAAGGGCATCATGCTTGGTAAAGTGGAGAATTAGCAAAAAAAGGAAGACATTTAACAAGAAGAATTAACACAATTGCTTACAAGCTCAAACACAGCAATGACTGAGAGACGATCCAGGATCAAAGATTTGTACTACTGTACATATTGTTGCCGTTACTATTAAGAAAGAACTGACTTGATGGCACCTAACAATGTCAAAACAAAGCATAGCTAGCATAACAAGTGCTAATAAACTGTAATAAAAAGGTAGTCATGCTTTCTGATAAAATGGAGATATTTAGCCTGCCTCTGTGTAATAAACTAACAGAACACGGAAACATCAAATAATGATACAAAGGAAAGCAAATTTCCTATTAAGAAGCAAAAGAAAAAAATTATATTGCTTTGAGGAGGCAAGGGAAACAATAAATTTGTTTCAAGTATCGCTGATACGTATACTGATACTTTTAAAGGTACCTATAGCCAATAAGATCCTTTTTTACTAGAAGAGCTCCTTTAGATCTTGTAACTTTTTGTGTATATGTATATTAAGTAATAGTACAATTCTTTCCCCTATTCCCATCAAAACATTTTCTGACCATTTTAAATTTATCCTCTCACAGATTACT